AACAATAATTAATTAAGTGCATTCTATTCCTAAACTGAAGAGGCAAGGCAATTCGTATTAAAATATTAGTATTTTTTATATTACAAATTATTAAATTATAATTTTATTTTTAATTTCGAATAATAATAAAAGATTGGTTAATAGTATTTAAAAAGATTGAAATGTAGTGTCAAGTAAAAAAACATTTTTAGATATTTATTGAAAGAAATTATAATTTTTTATATTTTCAATTATTTTTTTTATATTTTTTTGTTATTTCTATAATTTTTTAATAATTTAAATTGTCGCTGACGTCATTATGATGTCACATAGGTGTGGCGCTAGTCTAGGCGATTATTGCCTTAATCCATTGGGCACGCCTTAACTCCAATTGCTTAGGTGGGTTGGAGTGTTTTGGGGAAGGGAGAGAGTGCATTGGGTTGCCTATTTGCAAGGCAATAAACAACGGTGGAGTTGCTCTTAATGACGCCAAATAGATATATGTACAAGAAGTATAATAATATACTTAATTTGAAGATAAATTTTTCTAACCAATTGTATTATCACATATGATATGTTGGGCAATGTTTCGACGTGTACCGGGTCATATTCCTACTATACTGAAAAATATTCGGGTTAATCTCAATTTATTTCTTTGAAGGTTCTTGATTTTCAACATTTGGTACATAAAGGTTTTTTCATCCCAGTCATAATTCTGGGACACTTTCATACATCCATTAAGTTTCTCGTCATGACTTCGTTAACTGATGATGTGGCTCCCATGTGGACAATGACTGGGCGCCACGTGTCAATATGGGGGTCCACGTGAATATTAAAAATTATAAATAAAATATAAAAAATTATGGGCATCTTACCTCACCCTTCATTCTCCTTCCATTCTCCTTCCATTCTCTCCTCTGCACCCCACCCTCCTTGCATACCTAACCACCCCGCACACCCACCCATCTGCTCGCTCCCCTTCCACATATCTAGGTATGACCCAGGCCTCACCGCTGCACAGATGGGTTGGTATTATCAAAGGTCAGCCACAGGTGGCAATGGATCAACAGAGCTGGTAGCGGATCGGCATTTCGGAGATAACAAATCACCGTCTCGATCGTTGAATGGTCTTGATCTTGGAGGTCTTGGTGACAGGGACGGGTTTGGAGGTTTCAAATATGGCGACGATCTAATGGCAGGAATTGGGTGAAAAGGGTGGAGGAGAAAGAAGGGAGGGGAGGTGAAAAGGGTGGGGATGGGCGGTAGCGGATCCAGGATTTTAAACTCAGGGGTCCCAATAATAAAGGTCAAAAAATTTATAGACAAAAATAACATTGAAAAGTTAAATATAATACATTTCATTCAAAAATCATACACAAAACAACATTACAAGCTATAAAATCCTAATTCAAGCGTCCACGATGAGGTTTCATAGTCTGAAAATGTTCCATGATAGCTTCATTACCAATACATGAAAAAGTATCTTTCTCAATGTAAACAACTAAGTTGTCACTCAACCATTGATCTCCCATTTTGTTGTGAAGTTGATCCTTAATGATATTCATAATGGAAAATGGCCTTTTCACTGAAGCAGTTGCAACCGGTAAAACCAAAGTCAATTGAACAAGCAAATATACGTACACCATTTTCTTAGCAAGATCATTAATCCCCAGCAATTGAGAAAAACCATTATCAAAATGGATAAAATGAATATAAATATCAAGTTGATCTTGAAGTGCCAATTTATCTCGATCTGTGAAATCTTTAGGATACATCTGAGCAAGGCGAATAAGCTTTTCTTTATCAAAAGCTACAAATGAATCATTTGGACTCAAACATGCCAAGCAAATAAGCAATTTGGTATTACCTTCAACAAAGAGATCATCTAATTCTGTAAGTTGGAAATCAATGGCCTAAAAATAGAGTTCCACTTTGTAATGATGACGATTGGTCTTTCATAGAGCCTTACGCAATGACTTCCCTTGAATGACATATGAATCATCCATATTAGGCACCTCAATTTCATGTTCAACACAAAAAGATGATACTTTATCAACCAAAAGATCAAAATTTTCATCATTCCTCATGCAATGTAGTTACATGCCTTTGACTAAAGCCATTGTATTCACAATCTCTTGATCTTTCTTTTGCGATGCTTAATATGGATTTTGTCAAAAAGAGGAGGGGCACAAACTCAAAAATTGTAAATCTTTTAATAACATTTTTGCTTCACCAACACTATCATTGTAGCAATCTTCAACAATCATGTCAAGCACATCCACCACAGATGAGAACATTGTAATCAAACTAATCAAAGCACCATAATGTGAATCCCACCGTGTATACCCAGCACGTTTGAGACTAGTTTCTTGATTTAATCCTTGCCCCATTTCAAGACAATCATTTTCAATAGCTTTCATGAGATTTTCTTGTTGTGAAGTTGTTTTGGTAACATGTTAAACTCCCATGAACCTTTCAATTACTTGACCTTTGTTGTCCACATAATGCAAAACCACCGCCATTTTGCTCCTTTGTTGAAATATCACATGATTCATCTACCATTATAGAAAAGAATGTACTCTCTTTCACTTCCTTCATAATAGCCTTAATGGTTTCGAAGGCACATGAATTGATAATATCTTTTTGAATTGAATGAGCTATTAACTTGAGATTTCTCGGAGCATTTTCCAACACAACTTCCTTTATTTTCTCATCATGATCCATAAGGAATTGCAAGAGCTCTAAATAATTCCCCCTATTATTTGAAGTGTCACTTTCATCGTTGCCACGAAAAGGAAGGCCTTGTCACAACAAGAACTTAGTGCAATCTATTGATGCATTCAAGCAAAGACGATATTTCATACACTCTTCTTCTGGCTGTTTGATCACAATTGCTTCAATATGTGTCTTTGGGTTTATTAGATAACTATCCGCTTCTCTAGCTTTATTGTGGAAACTACCAATAGGACTAACATGTTTGTCAAAACATTCTCTTGCATTCTTCCATTTCTTAAAGCCTACCCCAGTGAAGACACTGCTTCCTAATTGTAAAAAGTTGATTTAAAAGAGATAGCAATGAAGACAAAATGTCATATCTTTAGATATACTATACTCCAACCAATCACATTCTTCAAACCACGAAACAACAAATCGTTGCTTTTTCTTTGAATGCAAAGTGTATGAGAACTTATGCTTTGTAGGCCTACAAGGTCTCATTTGCAAATATGCTCTTTGAACCTCATCTTGAATATTAGAAGGATCGTCCTTCATTCAAATTCTTTTTCCCAGGTCTCTCTCAAGATTATTAAAATCAATGTCACACTCATTTTGTCTTGAGCTCGAACGACCTGAACAAATGGATGGTGCTATTGGCTTTGGCTTAAAAAATCTTTCCATATTTCTTATTTTTAAACTACGCATTTAACCAAAAACACAAAACATATACCAATTAACCAATAAACAAAATTTCCATCTAAATTCCAATGATAAAATGATTATACAAACATAAAACATATCAATAATAGACTAAAAATCTCCATCAATATCTAATATAATTTAATTAAGATTAGATTAGAATACCAAAAAACTTACTTGAATTTTGAACCAAATAGTGGTGGTGTGGAGAATTGAAACAAGTGGAGATATGTTATTGGAGTAATGTAATTATAATATGGGATGGGGTGGGATTAGAAATTTAGGGTTTTGAAATCGAGGAGTTGCATTGGAATTTAGGTGAATATAAGAAAGATGGGGGCATTGGGGGAAAAACAGATGAGTGGGGAAAGAGGGGACTCTTGGGAAAGATGTGGGGCTAGGCTTTAAAACAATATGGAGTCATGGACCTGCAACCTGCACAGCAACACATACCTCGTGTTTGAGTACGAGAGGACCCTCGAAAAATTTCTAGCAGCGATTTAGGGTCGTCGAGGGGTCCTAAGACCTCCCAGGTTCCTTTGTAGATCTGCCACTGGGGGTGGGTAGGGTATAAAGGTTGAGTGGGTGCAGAGGAGAGAAATGACAGAAAAGGAGGGGATAGGGTAGGGTGTAGGGAGAATAAAGGAGGGAGAATGAGGGAGGGGTTGGGAGAGGCGAGGTAAGATGCCCATAATTTTTTTTTTAATATTCACGTGGCCCTATATTGACACGTGGTGTCTAATCATTGTTCACATGGGCGCCACGTCATCAATTAACAGAAGTTCTGATGGAAAATTTAACTTATGTATGAAAGTGTTCCAAAGTTATGACTTTAGGTACTAAATTAGGATAAAAAAAAACTTCATGTACTAAAAATTAAAAATCAAAAAACTTTAAAGTAATAAACTGAGATTAACCCAAAATATTTCTTCTCTTAAGTGAGCGTATCATTATGGTCTTTATATAACATTGTATACTACCCATACGAACTCCTATCTAATACCTTGTTGGCTACACCATGTCAGACGGCTCAAACCTGTCCGCCGCTCAAGAAGATTCCCTACGGCATGGTCATCTGGGACTCACTCGTATGACAAAAACAAATCAACGGTCTAGATCGTACCATTCAATACAAAACGTGAGTCTGTTCAGAATTTAGAACCTCGTAATTATCAGTCAAGACTAATAAATTACACGGAAATAAATTGTTAATAAAGTAATTACCCAGAACAACGAATTACTAATGACTGCAATTAACGAGTTGTACACTGAAAACGAGGTCGTCAAACGAGAATAATAATCGTCATCTTAGTGATGCGAGCACACGGAAAGCAAACCGCGGACGTCCACACCGTAACTCTCCCCCACACAATAAAACATAACACTCCAGTTACCTCTAACCGCCGTTTGGTATCATTCCCACGCGAAATTTCTGAATTCCCTCCCCGTTCCAACCAGGTCCCATCACATACCCTTAACGTCAGCGAAAGCGCCACGTCACGCGAGCACAGTAAATCCCCAATCCGCAAAGGGTGGGTCCCGTGGAAAAAGGACCGTGTCGGGTGCCCAAGCTCTGCAGACCAAACGGCGCTACTTTTGCTTTTTGGGACCTCTCCCTCATCATTATCTCCTTCATCATCAACCCCACTGTGGACAATCCCATCACACTAGCATTTCTAGAGAGGGAGAGAGAGGGAGAGAGAAGGAGAGTTTGTGGTGTGAGAAAACCTGGAATCACTTTTTTATCCGTCACTTCTCAGTTTCTTTGCTCTGCAAGCAATCTTCCGACCACGCGAGTGCTGCTGCTTCTGCTTTTCTTATCCCCTGCTGTAGGCTTCACAGCAGCGAATGTGAGGCTGAGATCTGAGCTTGTACGGACGACGCTCGTTTTGGATCTTTGGACGACAATGGGGAGTGTGTCGTCGGAGGACGGCTCGGACCTGCAGAGCGAGCGGTGCGGGAGCTACAGCTTAAGCGCCGACGTGAGCGAGTCCGAGAGTTGTAGCAGCTTCTCGTGCCGGAGGTTCGATGCAGAGGGGGCTTCGAGCTCCATGACGTCGTCACCGCTTCCGGTCGCCGGAAATTTCTTCTTTCAGGCGCCGGTGATGCTTCCGGTGATCGGAGGAAAGGATGTGGTGGCTTGGGATGAGAAGCCCGAGAAACGAAATGCTGATTTGTCTGGTATTAAATTTTGTTTTGTTTAAATTTGTTTCTGAATTTAGGGGAAAATGCTGAAAAATGTAGTGAAAATTCTTGTCCAGTAATTTTCACAACCTGATAAATCAATGAAAATAATTATTAATTTTTTTCTGCAGCTGAGTAAATTTTGTAGAGATTTGATTATGTTCTCTCTAAGATAATTTTACTTTTTTATTTTTTTATTTTAAATATTTAAATTATTTATGATTGCAGAAGTTGAGATGATGAAGGAGAGGTTTGCCAAGCTTCTGCTTGGAGAAGACATGTCAGGAGGAGGAAAAGGAGTCTGCACTGCCCTTGCTATCTCAAATGCCATCACCAATCTCTCTGGTAAGTCACATTCCTCTTGGAAAGTGCAAATTCTTATGCGATGTTGATCGGCATGTTTTCGATTTTACGTGGATGTTCTGTTTTGGAACTCAATTTTCTATATTGGAATGACAGCGACCGTGTTTGGCGAATTATGGAGGTTAGAGCCGCTGAAAGCACAGAGAAAGGCAATGTGGCGCCGGGAAATGGAGTGGCTGTTATGTGTGAGTGATTCAATTGTTGAGCTTGTGCCTTCGATGCAACAGTTTCCGGGTGGGGGGACATACGAAGTCATGGAAATGCGGCCGCGCTCTGACTTGTATGTGAATCTACCTGCCATTAAGAAGCTTGACGCAATGCTGCTTAGTATGCTAGATGGGTTTTGTGAGACAGAGTTCTGCTATGTTGATAGGGGGATTATTTTGGGGGATTCGAAAGAGGGTGAGGGGTTTATTGGTGGAAGGCCTTCAATTAGGCAAGAAGAGAAGTGGTGGCTGCCTTATCCTAAAGTTCCGCCAAATGGGTTGTCTTGTGAAACAAGGAAGAAATTGCAGAAGTGTAGGGACTGCTGCAACCAGATATTGAAGGCAGCCATGGCGATTAATAGTAGTGTGCTAGCTGAGATGGAAATCCCAAGAGCGTACATGGAGTCGTTGCCCAAGGTATGGGGTTCGACATCTCTTTCCAGGATTCGACATGTGTGCTTACTATATTAGTGACTAGCAATGCTGTTTTATTAGATTTCTTCATATATTTATATGTTTCCTGTCAATATTATTTGAGTTTTAGTTTGTTTTTCTATATGGGATTTAATCTCAGTGAGATGTCACATGTATATCGAGTGATAAAGCTTATATTTCAGTTCCATTCTAAATCATGAGATGAGCTATCTCTATAAAATCACACGGAAATCTTGTTGGAGATCTTTTGTTATCTTCCCTTAAAAGTTTGTCGTTCATTTTCTTTATTCATATCGTTTGTGTTGTTCTGCAACTGTTTCCTGTTGTATTTGACTGATTTAGAAATGTGTTAATGGTCCTCATGTCCTTTTTATAGCTTGGAAGTAGAGCTTTGCAACAATTATATAGCATTAGCAGTGAAAGGAAAAGTATTTTTCATAATGGCAGACAAAAATAATACTCTCGTTCTGTTCTTGTTTGCTTAGTTGTGGCTGATACTGGTGCTGAAACATCTCTCAAATGTGTTATATAGTGAGATCGTAAATAGATGCCAAATATCACCATTAGAAATAACCGTTCATCATTCGCATTCTACATAATGTTTTCATTTAGCTGATTTTAAATTTTTTAACGCCATTTCGTTTTTCATTCATGATAGAAGGGGAAAGATTGTCTGGGCGATATCATTTATCGTTACATAGCTGCAGACCAATTTTCACCAGAGCATCTTCTGGATTGCCTGGACTTGTCCTCAGAACATCAAACTCTAGAGATAGCCAATAGAATTGAGGCAGCTGTGCATGTTTGGAAGCAGAAAGACCAGAATAAACACAATAATCATAAAGCTAAACGGGCATCCTGGGGTGGCAAGGTCAAGGGACTTGTTTCCGATACTGAAAAGAGCCATTTTCTGGCCCAACGAGCAGAGACGCTCTTACACAGCCTAAGGCATCGTTTCCCTGGCCTCCCGCAAACTTCACTAGATATGAACAAAATACAATATAACAAGGTACATTTGACTGCATGTTTGCATGTTTTCTTTATCCATCTACGTTAAAACACATAACCATCTACATTACATTACTTAATATATATCACCTGAACCAGTATGTCGTCCATCAATTTATAAACTGTGTTTATCAGATATGTTGAATTCCTTGATTTTGAAATTTTTCCCGTCCAACTTAATTATTGCACGTTATTAGTTACTTTCTAGTTTCGGCACACTGCAGTAACTTCCGAATTTCAATATATAAAAGAACAAATCTTTGAAGGATGAAGTTTCTGAAGGATTTTTCTTTGTTGATTTTACAGGATGTGGGGCAGTCAATTCTGGAAAGCTACTCAAGAGTTATGGAGAGTCTGGCCTTTAACGTAATGGCAAGGATAGATGATGTACTCTTCGTTGACGATGCTACCAAGCGATGTGCTGCTGCGGAATCAGTGTCTATCTTCAGCAGGGGAGGTTTGAGTGGCCTTCCTGTTCAGAAGCGGATGTCACCAAGCCCCTTCTCCATTCAACACACTCCTTATGCGTCTCCACTTGCAACACCGGTTTTCTGTTCTTCCACCCCAGTTATTGGAAGCCCAGGAAGAACACCTCTGTGTGTAAAGCGCAACGTTATAATAGACGACAAGTCAGAGAGATTACTCGCATCTGATTTTGAGAGGGTGTGGTCGTATGCCGGAAGCCTAAGCTCAAGAAGAACAACCGGGATGCTCCTGAACGGGATTGACTAAGTTAATGTTAGGTCAGTTTAAGGTTAAGTAGGTTCATGTTACAAAAAGAAGTTGCAGAGATGGGTCTAAAGCCTAACGCCGGGGTGCTGTTGAGATCTAACGTTGTATATTCTTTATTAGCAATAGAAATAGGTTGTTTCTCTATAGTTTTGAATCTGATCAGGTAGTAGATGAAGGAAAATGACAATTTTAGTTGAAAGTTGGTTATAAATTTCCGGCATTCCGCATGGCGCTTGTAACTTAAGTAGTTAAAAATCTATCCATGTACTGTGAAGTAAATGTTCAATTTACCCCTCCCCTATATCTTTTATATCGAAAGTTAAAATTCTTGCATTCCTTTCTTTCCTGATTGCCCTAGACCTAGGGGGCATCTTTTGCCTGCAAACCTTTGGCAGAAGTTTTGATTGAATCTCTGTTCCTTCGAGGTATACGGTATAGTGAATTAGGGCTCGTTTGAATCAAACGAACCAAATTCAACCATTAAATACTAGTTGGGGTTGATTCGGTTAATATTAGTCAAAACCGAATAACAATGGTTTAGTTTGATTCGGTCTTAGTAATGATATTAGTCAAAACAGAACCAAACCAAACTAAACCGTTAAATACTAATTGATTCGGTTATATTTTTATGTCAAACCAAATCAAACTGATCTGCGGCCACCCATTCACCGAGGCTTAAAATGAGCTAAAATTGAAAACAAAAAAAAGAGCTACTATGTCGAGTTCAATACTCGTTCATCGAAATTGACCTTGTTCGTTGTTGCACTTTACCAAATTCTTATTTTGTTGTTCGATTATTGGCGACGAACATTATTAAGGAATTTGTGGTCATTCGTTCATTTCTCATCAAACATTGTGAGAGAAGTCATTCAGTTTTTTACCCTTCATTTATGTTCTTTTAATCATTTTCGGACGTATTAAATTTATTAAAAATTCGGTTTAATTAAATTTTCTATAATAAGTCAAATTGATAAATAGTAATCACAACAAGTGATCTAGTAATAATAAGAGTACATATTACGTTTCTTCAATAAATAAATAAATAAAATGTGTGAGCTCGTGTATTCGATATTCCGAGCTGATTGATAAGTCTATTTGATTGTGGCTACAAATAAAATGAAAGTTCCTCGTAATCAGTTAAAAAAAAAAAAAAAAAAAAAAGTGAATAACCGTGACTCTTCCCTTCCTATATGAAAAAAATTGCTAAATTTAGCATTCTCCAAGACTTGCTGCTTACTATATTAAATTAAGCCCGCCCAAATTTCTGTTCTAGCCCTACTTTCGGAGAGTTGAGAGTGAATGCTCATGGCCATGGCGGAGAAGCAAAGCACCAAAGCAAGCGGTCCAGGCCCGAGGAAGCCGAAGGTCATATTTGGCACCAAAGCACTTCAAACCGGCGACGGCGGCGATGCTCCTTCGAGCTTACTCGGCGGCATAGTCGAGAAAGGTATTTCCGATATGCCCCTGTCGGGCCCCACTCCACCGCCTCGCCCAACCGTTCTTCCTTTCCCCGTCGCTCGCCACCGCTCCGATGGCCCGGTAAGCCTGCAAGTTTGATACTTTGATCACCACTGTCAGAAGTAAAAAATAAAAATAAAACTTGTTATTTGGTCAGTTGAGTGAACAGTTATGATTTTTTATTTTTTTTTGGGTTTCATTGAAAGAAAGTTTAATAATTTAGGGAAAAACGGTAAACATGTATATGAATTTGTGACTGGTTTTGGTTGATTTGACAGCATCGGGGTCCGGTAAATAGTAAATTGGGTGGTGAGGAGGGTGGTGGGGAAGGGGATGAGGAGGATGATGAAGATGTAATGGACTTTGAACACATTAGGGATTTCGCTAAGCGGGTCGAAAGGAAGAAGAAAAAAGATATGGACTTTAGTAAGTGGGCAGAGGAGGAGCTTGATGCAAATAGCTCAATAACTTTTAGGGAAACAATGGAAGCTAGTAATAGAAAAATTGAGTCAAGTAAAGTGCATTCCCGGCGAAAGAATGAACAAGAATCTGCGTTTGGTAGCTCGAAGATTGAACGAGGATCTGTGTTGGTTAACTTGAAGGTTGAACAAGAATCTGTTTTGGGTCACAATGACATGGAAATTGAAGCGGACATGTACGGAAAGTCCATGCCTGATAATATTCGAAATGAACAAGGGGGGTCTGTGTCGCTTGAGGCTCAGATTGATGAAGAGAACTGTGCACGGTTACAAGGGATGTCTGCAGATGAGATTGAAGAAGCACAGGCAGAGATCATGGGCAGACTGGACCCTGCATTGCTCCAAGTACTCAAAAGGAGGGGTGAAGAGAAATTGAGAAAGCAAAGAGACCCCAGCTCAGATAGCAATGAACCAAAAGCTTCTACTATCTCTCACAGTGGTCCGTCTCATGTGGCTACAAAAATTACTTCAAACAATACTCGAACTTCAGTAAAGGATAGATTGGAGCAGAATTCAGGCAAAGCCAGTGGCAGTTTGTGGAATGCTTGGAGTGATAGAGTCCAGGCTGCTCGGGACTTAAGGTTTTCCTTGGATGGGACTGTTATTATAGATGACTTCCAACAGATATCTCAGAGTAGTAAGTTTTAATACTTGTTTATATGATTTTTAGCAGAAGCTAATTTTCTTTTTCATTCTATATTTGAAGAGATTATGTATTCCTCGTTACTCCAATTTTGCTTTTTACTTTTTTCTGTTTTATATTCTCTAAAGCGTGGGACTTTTAGTTCTGTAGTTAAAGTTTCCCTTACTAAGAATTTTGTAGCATCAGTAAATTTTTTCTTGTATGGGGAACACAACTGCACTGGATGATATTACTTTCAAAACGATAAAAATACCTTAATAGAGTATCAGGTAAAATTTTCTCCTATTTTACAGGTAATTTATCTGAGCGTGACTACCTGCGTACTGAGGGGGACCCTGGTGCTGCTGGTTATACAATCAAAGAAGCAGTGTCACTCACTAGGAGTGTGGTCAGTTTAAATTCTTGATTGCTGTAATTGTACATCAACTGTTTTGATAATGTATCTTTTGAATTTCTCTAAACTTGATGATATACGATGTCCATGGCCTTTTATTATATTTTGTATCAAATCTTGTTGCTCCTGGTAAAGTTTGCTTCCTGATTTCATTATCTTGTTTTACCATATGCTGTTTGGTGGTTTCAGATTCCTGGACAGCGGACACTTGCTTTGCATTTCCTTTCAACTGTGCTTGATAAGGCATTGCATAATATTCAAGCGCAAGATCAGTTTATCGGAAAAGATGCTAGTAAAGTCGATAAATCTGCTGACTGGGAAGTCGATAAATCTGCTGACTGGGAGGCCATTTGGGCTTATGCACTTGGCCCAGAACCTGAGCTTATTTTATCTCTCAGGTGAATAATATCTGGATCCTTATGTTCCAAAATTTTGGTGAAACCAACCATACATAAATTGTTCCCCTTCATCTTGTAAACTTATTCTTCTGTTGGATTGTTTTGTGTACTAGTTGATATTTCAAACAATTATTCGATTTTTTTTTTTTTACTGGATGTCGTTGCAATTTAACTTCTAATTTATTGCAGGATATGTCTCGATGATAACCACAATAATGTAGTCCTAGCTTGTGCCAAAGTTCTTCACCGCATATTAAGCTGTGATGTGAATGAGAACTTCTTTGATGTTTCGGAGGTAGAGTTTTCCTTTTCTGTTCTTATTACTACTCTAGTTATATATTTCTTTATTCTTTTTTAACTTTTCTGAAGTTTATGATCTATTGGTATTTGGTTAATTCAAGCTTAATATATTCTGCCCTCAGAAAATAGCAACCCTGCATATGGACACATTTACCGCCCCTGTATTCAGAAGCAAACCAGAGATTGATGTTGGTTTCCTGCGTGGTGGATTTTGGAAGTACAATGCCAAGCCTTCTAATATTGTTGCTCTCGATGAGGAAATTATTGATGATGAAACTGAAGGGAAACGCACCATTCAAGATGATGTTGTAGTTGCTGGACAAGATTTTGCGGCAGGTTTGGTGCGGATGGGAATCCTTCCAAGGCTTCGCTATGTTCTGGAGGTTAGTCCTTATTTAGTTTTTACATTCAGGACAACTATAAGAGCTGTGCAGGTATTTGATAACCACCCAAGGTTCCCAAGATTTATATAGAGAACCAAACACTAATTTAAATTCAGATGCTCACCTCCTTCCTCCCGAGTGGGACTTTGACGTTCATATTGCATGTCTTTAATTTTTTGTTAGTTAATGTAGAGAGGTTGTTAAATGTTACTAAATTGTACGGCCTCTTTAACATTAAACGCGAGTGTAACACATCAGAAAACTCATAAGTACCTAGCTTGAAGGATCCCTAAAGTCTTGACACAGGGTTATGGGTGCGTCATGTGTGCGTACATACTTTTTAATAAGTGCTTTGCTTTCTCATTCTTCTATCAAGGTAATGAGGGCTGAGCTATATTCTTAGTTCCCATTGTTGGATTGATATGATTGTGGGTTTGTGGTATATGAATCAACAATTAGTAGTGTTACAAATATAGTAAGGTGCTGCTAAAAAAAAAATTATGTTGAAGATGATCTGCAGTTTCCTCCTAAAGTGTATTGTTTTATGTTGTTTCAGTCTGACCCAACGGCAGCTTTGGAAGAATACACAATATCTATACTTACTGCAATTGCAAGGCATTCCCCAAAATGTGCGAATGCAATCATGAATTGTGAAAGGCTTATTGAAACAATTGTCAGCAGATTTATCGAAAAAGACAGTGTAGATATCCAGCCTTCAAAAATAAAGTCTGTTAGACTTCTAAAGGTAAGCAGTTTCTGTACAACTTTTATGTCCACTTGTCTAGTACGTTTTGTTCCTGGTGTTATAAGGGAATTATGCCTGCATTTAATTCCGGATAAAACTTATACTTTTATCCTTATTTTTGTGTATATAAAAGGTGATGGCTCAATCTGATCGTAAGAACTGTGTTGCTTTTATAAAGAATGGGACTTTCCAAACTATGACATGGCATTTGTATCAATCTATTTCCTTCCTTGACAACTGGGTAAAATCTGGAAAGGAAAACTGTGAACTTTCTTCGGCTTTGAAGGTTGAACAGCTACGTTTTTGGAAGGTTTTTGTTCAGCATGGCTATTGTGTGTCATACTTCTCAGATATTTTCCATAACTTGTGCTTGTGGCTGAACCCACCTACAATTGAAAAACTTATTGAGAATGATGTATTTGGTGAATTTATGTCCATCTCTACGGAAGGATACCTTGTTCTGGAGGCTTTGGCTAGAAGGCTCCCAAGTTTGTTCTCACAGAAGCATCTGAGCAATGAAATCTCTGAGCATT